AAAAGACAAATTGGCGAAAGAGGGCAACTTGTCTGATAGGATTGTAGACATATCCATTGCATTCACTCAGGAAACTTAATTTCTCCGTCTTTTACTTGGCCTGGCCAGAAATACACGTACTTCGTTAGCGTGCATCTTGTTATTTCTGAAACCTGTCGGCAGCCGTCTTGAGTTGTCATCTGGGACACACTCCCGTTCACCTTGAAGATAAACAATTACTAGGTAACATATCAACACGGAGAACATGTGTTTGAAAATCAATATATTTCTTCAAAATATGACATTTTTAAGATTTGTATTTTTGCCGTTTTTTAGAAGCAAAATGTGAATTGAGAAACATTGGCAGATTACTGGTAGATTAAAAACTCCCGTCCCTTTATATTCAACACGCACGAGATGAGCATTTCTCTCTCCACAAGGAAGCCACTCTCTGAACAAAGACATCAGAGGAGTCTACTAGTGTTATATACAATCTTATGGGCAAAGATTTACGGAAGTTTACCGCGACAATGACAGTCGTGTATAAATCTGCCTAGCTGTTATGGTTTCTTACAAGGACATGTAACTTAACCTTTTCCAGATCTAGCGGTACACTTGCCTAGACCGGTACACTTTTAGATATTGACAGTTTTAATAGACTGGCTGAAATGTAAGAGAGTCCCCTGACATGGCCAATAACAGAACAGCTATATAAATCCATTCATTTATGATATATATTGTCATGATATGCAGTGTCAATGCTTGGCAAACCACATTTAGGCTTATGACACTCTGTGTAAAAACCCTCTTTAGATAAATGTTATGATAATAAATTTTACCAGTTATCTTATATTTTTTCATAACTTACATGTATACCCCAGTATGTTTAATTTATTTGAAGACCTCACTTATGTTTATATTTATGCTCTGTTTTCTGTTTAACCAGTGCACAGAACAAGAAATTGATGTGCCATCTTCTCTTTCATGTTGAAACATTTCATTAACTAATGTTTTTATTTTTCTTTCGATTTCTACATGTACATATAAAGGAACAATCCCCATTTCCCATTCAAAAATGTTTTTTTTTTCGGTTTTTGTTCTTTCTGAAATGTTACGCATGTTCTGAGTTTAAAGAAAAACATTTTATTCGCGATTTTCCATATTCACTGTTTTCATTATCAACAATGTGATTGGTTCAGAAAGTTGCTCTATTAATAAAAAAGCTGAGCATTTTTGAAACTAAGAATATACCACATTTTCTCTTATATCAAATCTACAAAAAAGTTTAATTCTCCTATCAATGCATCTCATAAATTTACCTAAACATGTTTAGCCATCAGCCATATTTCAGCGGAATACATGTTGTTTCAGCATTTATTATTAAGACTTTATTTTGAACCAAATCAATGATACCCTAGACAATACAAATATCCTTTTAAGAGTCGTAATTTTAAAGAAATCCCTAAAATTTAGAACCGCTCAAATTAGATCAATCCAGTTAAGCATACCGCTATTTAATAGACCTGACCAACTTTTGTTATTGGTGCAAGAAATTTAAGTCAAACGTCGCTGGTGTTCTTGCAGATTCGACAGGTAGACAGCTATGTATGGGAAGCCTGATTGCGTCTGTGTTGAAACGCAATCTGATTGCATCCTGCATCATGCACATCTTTGATTCTAAACTGCCTAAAATCTCCGATACACCCGGATGTGATGTTGATAGAGACGGCGGTCACCCTTTGTTTTTATTTTTGATTACCCTGTTTACAAATTAACAACAGATAAATCTTTATTCTCTACTCTTATAAAATGATATACTGTTGTAATGCGTGATTACCTGTGTCAATATATCAAGTAGATGGGTGTCACATGCTCTTTCCGAGAGCTCTCTCACCAGACTCTGAATGAACCACGTGCCATGTGTAGGAGATCGCCAAGACTTGTCACCTGAAACGTCAATTCAGCAAACCTAAGTTTGACGGCCGGATATCAAACCGTTAAAGATGTTGGTGCTTTAACAGAAGGTTGACTGTTATACCTTATCCAATTATACTTATTTTATATGCTATTTGTGAAGGATTCTTGTCGACCAAGAGAAAGTATTAATAGTGGAAACCGCTGAAAAAGAACAAGCAGACTTCACAATCTTACCTGTGGTCGTTGAAGTAACTAATATCATATCGGCCTTTTCTGCTATTTTGCGGTCTTCGGTATTTGAGAAAGTATTTTGTGGCTTTGTTGTCATTTGCTTGGGTTTCGTTTTTACATCTGACGCATTTTCATCCTCACCTTCTGTGAAATAAAGGATAATTGTTAAATATTAGACAATGACATGTCAATGAAGTATAAAGCAGCGATTCCCAAGTTGTAATTGACAAAAATATTTTTACTTTATAATGGCCAAAATTGAACAACACATCGCATGAAATACACAAACGAACTATATTTTGACAGAGCAGTATCAACCAACTATATATGTAATAATAATAATAGAAACGCCCTCCGTTCGCATAAGAGGGCAAAGTACATATCTAGTACTATACAGCATTATAGCTTTAAACATCAAAGCAGAAAATTAGGGAATCAATTTAACCTCTCACTCTTTACTCATGAAATTAAAACTTGTTTCACAAAGTATGGTTCACACCAATGCCCCATGTGGAAGATGGACACTTACGACAGGGACTCTGACACGCAGATATGAAGAACATCTTGGGGCAACCTTTCAGCGTAGGACACTTGGAGGCCTCAAAGTGTGCAAGCATTTGGTCATACCCTATATGATAACCGTCAGTGCCTATCACCGTGTTCTCTCCACCATGACTCAGGATCACCATGATGAAGGAAGAGTAAACACTGTGATCAGTTCTTGACTCACGTTCGGCTATTTGACTGATACCCTGTATAATGCAATGTTTGGTCAATATAGGTTAATGACAGTACACTTTGATACTATTATATTGTCAAAGAGAAATTCATTTTTCTGATCTCATCAGCGAGATCAGCGTTTGTAATTCTCTGAGGGAAGAGTTCTGTCATCATAATGAATTGGCAACGGTCGAAGTCTTGCAAATTTTTTAACATAGTTAAAGAATAAATTATTCACATATTTACATCCTTAACCCATAATCACATATGAAAATGCACGAGTTATCATATACTTAATGACAGAAAGAGTTAATATGTTACCATCACATAGTTTATAGTTGATATATTACCAACTGTATCTAAAGGGTAAAATATGCGGCGGACTAAGTGAACATTTAAATTCGATCTACAAACCCTAGCAGTCATGTTGTCATGCCTGGACACCAGGTAATGTAGCTGCTGAAATAAACTTTCCAGACGTTTAACATCAATCTCTGTGCCTTCTCTGTCGGGGTGATAGTTATTGTCAAAGCTGACATTGTTGATGATCACAGCTCTCCCTCTCCACTCTCTGTAGTTTTTGTAGACCTGCAATATTCAAAAGGGTTGTTGACAATTTAAGTGTAATCTTGCACTGCTATTGCCTCAGTACATGCTTCTCTTGGTGCACCAACAAGATAAAGTGTGAAACATTCAGTTGGTGTTGTAATAAATGTCTTTTTCATGACAAAGCTACTGTATTGTTGAACATTATATACGGTAACAAATACACCTGCATATAAAAATAAAACAGAATAAAACGGGGCCACTAACATTTTTATGATCGAATGCCTTCTCCTGGAAGAGGTCAACTGAGCAAGGTTTTACTTTGACCTCGGTCATATCATCCATGCTTGAGCCTACAATTATAAATTATCCTCCAATGAGAAGGTTAATGAGTTATTATGTGCAGTGTTAAGAATATGTACAGTGTTAAGAATTTGGTAAAAGTGATTTATGAACCAAAAAAACTAGTTTTCCTTGACTGCATATAGCATTCTGGAAGAACTGTTAAGATTAAAGATCAAACTAAGTGGACCATACCAGAGTACATAAATGCCCGATCTACAGGGGGTGGGGGCGACAAAATTATTGCACCACCTGTATGAATAGGGAGCTATGGGGCATGAGGGACCCGTTCGTAAAAAGTGCCTTGCGGTTTATTGGTCACGTAACAAGGGATGGATTTTCATCCATGCGCACAATAAGAGGTGCCATCGTAGGTTTAACGCCCTTCTAGATGTCAAGTTGTTATCATGGTGAAAAAAAACTCAAAAATGAAAATATCAAAGAAATTGTTTCCCTGAAATTGGAGGCTTTAGCTGTATCCCATATGTGGTATGCTTGGTTAACTTGTATACAGGGTTTGCAGAAGGATGGGGGACACTGGTGATGTCCATAAAACAACATGAAGCAGACTACTGCCAGAGACGACAGGCGTCTTTTTATGCTGCCAAGGCTCAGGAAATTTGAACCGTGCTGTGAATTAGCTTTACGGTGGTTGAGTTAAAGGTGCATATAAACCCAGTGTCTGTGGAGCGTTGATTTCAAGTAATGCACATAAACCACTTCTAACTAAATTCGACATACCAAGGGATGAACCAAATAAAACGCTCTATAAACCATAAAAAAGCTCCTTTCTTTAAACTTTTGGCTGTAGATTTAACCTACTTACCTGACCTACTTATCTGCCCCATAGATATACAGCATAGAAAGCTAACAGGAAAATCCGTTCAAATATCATTTTGGGTAATATTAAACAATGTCTTTTGGTATTTCTCTAAATTTACTATTTTAAACTATATAATGGCATCTGGTCGGCTTTTGTGGCAAAAAAATTGACTTCGTATGCATCTTTAAGCAAAAGAACAGTTTAAAGAAGGCTCCATGCTACAGGAATTCTCACCAATATTGAGATCACGTGGCCATCCTACAAAATATTAATACTGACATAATAAATGAGCACTGGTCTGTTAACCGGTAGTAAAGATACTAACTTGACATTACCAGAAACTATTGGAAAAACCTTACAAATCCAGCTGTTCTTCACCTTATAGCAAACGGATACAGTACTCTTGTCAACCCCTGTACTTTGTTCAATTATTAATGGTGCATTTTTTACCAACATATAATAAAGGTAGTTAAAACATTCCAATGTCAGTGACCACGATCAATACCAGATCAGTACGTACTTGATGTTTGAGCAGAAGCAGTTTCTAGTGACTGATTGTGGGGCAGCCCTTTTTCTTTTTCTTCTGTCCTACCTGGTTGGCAAATGCGAGATAATCACACTTTATAGGCATTAAATAATACTTTTATATCATTTACACTAAATTCTTGGAAACACAATCACACACACACACACACACACACACACAATTGAACGCTTGATATCAAGGTCATTTATGTTCAACATTACTGTCAATGTATAAATGTAAAACCACAATTTCCCACTTATAAACACGTGGAAAAAGGTGAATCATATGAGTTGTGTACTAGAAATAAAACGCTGTTTTATTGTAGTGACTAAACGCAAGAGTTTGGATAAATAATCTTCATTTCTGTCACCGGTAACATATAATTTTAATTTTACGAGACTTGCTTATTAACAACGCCAAGGCTAGAGTTCAGCACACAACCTTACCTTGCTCATGATTGACACTGTTGCTTTCTGAAAGACGCATTCGAGCCACGAGTGGGGCTTTCTTCACTGCTTCTTCTCCTGAAATAATTGACATACATATCTTTTCATAGTAATTATTATTTGTGTATTGTGCAGAGTGTATAACAGTCGGTATTTCAAGGTATAAAAGCTAGCTACATCTAGTTATGGTTCAAGTCACATATCACCAAAATTTAAACTTTTATTTTGTTCACTTACGGCAACAGCAGGTATTATGTTTTTGAACTGCTTACCTGAGAACCAAACACGATATGGCCTCAAATCAATCGGTACTTCCGCATTCTCTACACATACACATATGACATCCTTTTCTAGAACGGTCTCTGCTTCTATTGGGATCTTGCCGTGGTTTACCCGGATATAGTGCCCAAAGTGCATTCTGGGGCAGTATGTCTTCTGTAGATAAGACAACTCGTTTTCAACTGTTTGTCGTGTATTAAAATATACGTGAGGCTTTGGTGGGCCGGCAGCGTTCGTTATCACCAGTTCAATGTCCTTTTCTGCAGTGAAGAGATGAAGCACAGATGTTTTGTCTTCCAGACGGAAGGAGGCGTGGTCAAAACCAACATCTGGGATGCCATTTACACAATGGTAAGGTTTATACTTCCTAAGCAGACGGATGATCAAACGATGGAATAGCCCTGGAGGAAAGAAGCCGTGAGGGAATGAAATGAATAAAGATATTTCTCGAGCCTTCTCGGGAGGCCGATATTTCACCAGGTCATTGGATTTCAGCATGCAAGGCACGACGAATTTTCTCTTTCCAGACGGCAGCATTGGATTTTGAACTGATTTAGATATGTCCAACATCAGGTCAAAATGCTCCATAAGTTGAATCACTTCGTTTTTCATGTCGGTCATCTTTTCCTTCTGCAGATATACATCGAACACCTCCTCGTTCAGTTCTCCTTTTTCCAGACTTCGTTTCAAGTAATCGAGGCGATCCTTTCCACTTTTACTAACAGGCGGGGTCATGATGGCAGAAAACAGATCTGCTAACCACTGTGGATCCAATATGACGATATTTTCCAGTCCATCCACTTTGAAGTGTAGGACGTCTCCCAGATGATGATGGTAAGGAATAAACATTTCATCTAACTCCGCGTCACGGATTCCAACTAAGCGCGCCATATCACGCAGTTCTTTAATATATATGATCGGCCTTTCTTCACTCTTCTTTGCCAAATCCAATTCCAACTGGAACCATCTCACTGGGTGCATTTGGCGGCCAGCTTCTCTGTCTCTGCTATAGCCACAAAGATGCTCGATCTCGCTTTTTATTTCATCAAACTCCTCAACGTCGGCCAAGTTACTTATGGCAAAACAACGGTAGACGTGTTCTGCGAGTTCCTGCTTGTCCTCCAGATAGTCCAAGAGTTGACCAAGTATCTCATCAGCGGCTACCTATAAATAACACGGTATGGGGTTTAAAATCTTGTTCAATTTCATATTAAAATGTTAAGTTTGCCTTTGGAAAAAAAAAAACATTATCCTTTACAGTGTACACTCACATTCAAGTACAGTACATTTCACTTAAACAAAAGGGAGGAAAGTGGACTGCTTGTGTGTGTGAGATAATAAAATCCCAGAGAAGGAAGGAGCGGAAGACGCTTATCTCGACACCGAATCATGTCAACCAAAATCAGTCACCTTTTCCGTGTTCTGGGTACAAGTAGGTCCTTAAGTTCTAGATTTCAGTATTGCCAGCTCGATCATGATTTCTATATAACCCATATCAGCAATTCTGACTGTAGTCATACTAGGGGCGTGTTCGGCAACATTTTGCCTGGGGCGTTTCCATATTTGAAAGCCACATGTCGCGAACGTCACAGATCTGTCCCGCCTGGAGCTGCCTTTCCCGCCTTGGGCTGACGTCACCTCGTGCAGACGAGACAAAGACGAAAAGAGGCTGACCCGGAGATTGAATTTTGAAGTAAGAATACCTTGCAATCGAAAATCGATGCCACAACACAAGCCCCTTTCTGCTTTAAAACTGATTTTGGTGTAGCCATTGCGCAGTCCTTATAGTGGTGTCGGACATACAGTGTACATTAGTGGTCTGAGTTGGTCTTTAAGTGCAATTCAAGACTAAAACTGGTATGAAGCGATCTTAAAGATTAAGTAAGGAGTCTTAATTTTTAAGTTTTCATTTATGATAGATCCAGATATTTTGGCTTACCTGTTAACTGTCTTATATGTCTGTGCTCTGATGTCAAAACTTTAAAAGTATGCTGCACTAGTACTAGTATTAGACACATTTATGCGCATGTCAGTAACAGTAGACTGGGTCGTGTACGGCTTACGCCATATTAAGATTTTATGTGATTCGAACGCTACGAAGAATTCTGATTTTTAAGTTATATACATATGAACTAACCAAGACTAGGCTGACAACATTATTGGAAGCTTCTAAAAATATTCTTTGAAAAACAAAACAAAACAAAACAAAAATCTGACTATATCTAGTGACACCGCCAAATCGACCTCTACCTATACACACTGAACACTTTTAACACCAAAATGATGTCTGTAAACGACACAATATATCACGGCAATACGGTGATCGCACACGCACAAGTGCATAGAGCCTATGACAACGATAGTGATGATGGAGATAATGACATGTATTACAGCGCACCATTCTGACACAGATAAGATGTGAAAAAGACTATAGATGAGTGAATGGACGCTTGGTCAGAAACGATTGTCAGCAATCTAAAGCAGATCCGTGCCAAGGACAACGCCGGTGGCGCCAGGAAGACGCAGAATAGCAGGGGTGTCTAACGCTCGGTTTTTGAAACTGCAACGGGTGGCCAAGGACCAATATTATTTCGTGAAACACTCGTAAAACAACAAGATTACGATATCTGTTGCCTCGCCGAAACATTTTTGCAAGGGAATGATGAATTACAAATTGATGATTATTTCTGGATTGATAAAAACCCGCACCAATCTGCATGTGAATGCGCATAGAGGATCGGGTGGGGTTGGCTGTTTACTACGGAAAAGATTGGTATCAACCTACGACGTTAAAGTCCTTGACTCTGAGATGAAAGGAGTTGTTGTTTTCCAAAGCACAAACAGAAAGAAACAACTTTTGCTTGGGTGTATGTTACCTTCCCCCAGAGAGCACGCTCCTAAAACTGACACTGAAAAGCATTTTTAAAGCTTGCAACAGATATATATGGTTACCAAAATTTGTGAAATATAATAATTTGTAGTGACTTCAATGCGCCTGCAGACGAGATCGAGATAGGCTGTTGATGAAATAGAACCGCGTAAAATTTTAGATGAGCATACAAATAGCCATGGAACGCACTTTTTAAATTTACTAACAGACATAAACATCTGCGTGCTTAATGGTAAAATAGGCGAGAATGACAAGCATATCATAAGCCTCGGGCTCTTACGGGCTGTTTGCGTCCAGATTTTGCGCAGAATCTCACGTCCCACACAAGTCTTTACGCAATTTCGAGCTAGCCGACAGCCCGTAAGCACGTACGGAGGATGTTGGACATGTCGAAAAGATTCTACTAATAGTCTGCGAACAGCGAGGCCGCAAGCGTAACTTGCTCCCCTCGCCCGGAGTTAGCAAGAGAGACGCGCGTAGTGCAAGACGCACGTCGCAAGCAATGAAGAAGCAAATGCCATTTGCGTGTTGAGTAAGGCACCAGCCCTCTGAACTAAAGAACAAAGTGGACAGCACATTGGGAATGCGTCGCACGTGCGTGACCCCCACGCAGTAGCTGCGAAGAGATGCACGAAGCTAGATATTCAAACAATTTTGACATATCTCAGGGAAAATAAATATCCCCCAGAAGCTTCACTCAAAGAAAAAGGGGTAATTAGAAGAGCCAGTAACGACAACTACAAGGTAAATCATTTTCTTAAAATTCATATTAACCTTAAAGCTTTATAAGTATTAAGTTGTATACCCCAAAAATACTTTTATTACCAGGACAGCATGCCCACGGACTTTTACTACCAGGACAGCATGTGCGTGGGACTTTTATTACTAGTAAAGCATGTCCACAAAACCATTGTCACTTCTAATCCACGTCGGCGGCCTACAGACATTAGGAAGCATGCTCTAGCAAATATAATTAGTGGATATATACTTTCAGTACGCATATTATTTGGTTTAGCAAAATGTTAATTGCTGTTTTCAATGCTTGATATGCGTTTGGAAATGTTATCTTTATTTATGAATTATCTTTTTTTTAGCTCGAAAGAGGAGAACATTTCTAATAAGTTCAGAATAAAAACCCAAACAAAATGTTGAAACCAATGATGAATCAGGGGGTGAAGGCACCTCTTCAATGTTAACTGAAATATCATGGAGAAAAGTTATGACAAACCAGGAAGAAATCAAGGACACTGTGGCTAACATGCACTCCTCGGTCATAGGTATGCATATTTGTGCGGGCGTATCTTCATGTGAGCAACAGTGCGTGCGCACGTGTTGTGTTAAGAAACGTTATTTACATACCATAATATATATTTATATAATAATTGTAACACTATGATGTTTGTTAACAACAACTTTAATAATACGTAATGTACTGTTATTGTCAGACATCTAGGGCGGGATAAAACTCTTGATAAGCTTCAGAAAAAGTACTACTGGCGTAATATGGCCGAGGATGTTAGAAAATTCATAGCCTGCTGCGCAATTTGCCAGAAGGCAACACACAAAAATAAACAATCTGACCCACCTCTTCAACCAATACCAGTCACAACGCCAGAAGCCTGGAATATGGTAAGAAATACAGGGGTATTTGTTCCTTACATTGTTATTACCCATGCAGATAGCACTCACATATTTCATGCTCGAGGCTTGTTTGTCAAGAAAGCACACTAGCACATTTTCTTATATTTATTTTTTTATAAATAAAAGTATTTTTGAATTTCATCAATATTCACGAAAACTTTACTTACTTGTATAATAAATAGATTTCGTACACTATCATTATATTTATTTTATTCAGATTGGAATAGATTTGATTGGCCCGCTTAAGGAGACCACCAATAACGATGTGTACATCTGCACTGTGGTTTGTTACTATTCAAAGATGGCACACCTCCAGCATTGCAATCTAAAGAGGCAACTGGTGTTGCAAATTTTTTGCTTGATTTGTTTTTGGTGTAGTTTTAAATTTGGCACATGAAACATGCTTTTAAACATTAAATACCATACTTGAAAAATATCTGAACTTTGTATGATTTACTTACTGCCTATTAATACTACTACAAATCCAATGATTATGGGTTTTAAGTTTTAAATGACAAAATAATTGAGAACGCCAGTCATATACTTATTTCTACAAGTGTATTTATACTTATACATTCATTTCATTGTTTATGAACCATATATAAATCTTAATGTTTTTCGTTTTAAGTTTTGGGTTCCCACAGACAATGCTGTCAGACCAAGGTCGGGAGTTCAATAATAAACTAATCCAACAGATCACAGAGAGTGGATCAGATATAAAAATGTAACTACGAAGGTTAAAACAAAAAAAAAAAAAAAAAAAAAAAAAAATGTGATCAAAGATCTTTCGATCGAAAGTTAAAAAGCTATTCGCATAAACACCAAAAGGATAAGCCCTGCGCTGAAAGTAAACAGAATTATTGCGAGTTCTAGAAACAAATAGGAAAGTTGGATATAAAGAGGTGCAACACGGTACCTGGGAAGTTGTTGATGACAAGAAAATAATAACTGATAAAAGGCAAGTGCTTGCAAGATGGCAAAGAGACTACCAGAAACTCTTTAATAATGTTTCACCCGACAGCTTCTATGATAAATTCTTAAATTCGGTAATCGCCGCGGAAAACGATGAGGGGTTAAATTAGAGGAACTCTTCATACGAAATTCAGCTTAATGGCCCTATTAGACGAGATGAAGTATATAACGCAGGGATGGGACAGAAGAATGGAAAGTCGGCTTTGTTTAATGTCATTGTATCTAATTATATGACACCGTTTATGTCAGGGTGAAATTTTAGTTATATCAATAAAGGCTTTTTATACCACAAAGAGAGTCTGTCTGTTACAGATATTATTTATTTTTCAATTCATATCTTTATTAATTAGGAAAATTAAATATGCTAAACGTTGGATTTTGGACTAATGACATTCATTTGCAGATTCACTGCGGAGCAGTTCCTTAGATTGACAATACTCCAGATTACCGGTGTTCTTCAGGGAGGACTGTAAAGCTACCCCATGAAAATATATGAATAGTGAACAAGCTCTGATACTTAGGGCAAATACAAGGTGTACACTCCAAAAGTCTAAATGACTCGCAATGCCTTGTAATATGAAGAGTGCAGTGGTACGGGTGGGACGTATGGTATAAAACAAATCGAACAATTGAATAAAAAAACATATTTATTACCTCTGAAGCCAATTTGTCCTTATGAGTTCCAATAATCAAAACGTGTGGGATGACGCTCTTCTTTTCTTTTGATTTTCTAACTGTGTGCATATGGATAGAGTTCAACCAATACACTATGAACTCTGAAAAATGTAAAAGAAACATTAAGGTAAAGAAGACTGTTTATTAAGGTAAAGAAGACTGTTTATTTATTTCCCCAACAAAAATAACACGGCCAGTTCTGTTGATTATTAACAGAAGGCGCAAACAACGGAACGGTCGTCGTTTCCAATTCAAACAAAAGGATAATTGCACTTGTATTAGTGCTTACAGATAAAACATCTAACATGGGCTTTCACAGTTACCTAAAAAATGCATCTAAATGTAATCTTCATCATACCTTTCACCGTCTTCTCTCCTCTGTATACCGGGATTTTGGTATCGAGGTTTACATCAAGTCGGAACACCAACAAGTAGATGTTTTGCTCTGAGAGGAAAGTCTGGTGAGTGGTGTAATAGACATCTTGGCCACCAAAATCCCAAATTGTAATCTGTTTCTCAGGATCCACAGGTTCTCCACGAGCAACTGACTTTATTTTTTGCACAAGGTCCGGATGGAAAATTTTGAAACTGGCCGTCTCTGCTATAAATACGATTAATTTGGAAGGGTCTTATGAGCGTGGTTTAAGGTATATTTAAGTTAGGTAACATTGGGAGCATTCACATCGAGAAGAGCCGAGGTCTAGTAAGGTCGCTACCTAATATGGCGGAGCTACATGAAAGGGAAACCGCTTAAATCGTTAATGGTCTCTCTATCTCTCACACGCCTTTCCGCGCGTCGTCCCTGAAGGGGCTCACTAATTAAATCTCGGCTCAATTCAACCTGTCGAGGGACGATGCGTGGGGGAGCCGAGTGAGAGGCGGGGAGACCATTACAGGATTAAGCGGTTTTCCTTACATGTAGGTCCGCCATATTTAGGTAGCGGCCTTATTAGGCCTTGACTCATCTCGATGTGAATGCTCCCATTGATTGCTGAAAGAGTGGTGACAATGAAATAGTTCATTGTCCGTAACATATTCCACACTGTCTTATACCAAAGAATACTGTTTCATACATTCCCCAGATATTACGATATTAAGTGAACTCTTACGAAATGGATGGAAAGTAAAGAAATATAATTTGTTTCTGTTCTATCAAAAAAACCGTAAGTGAGGAACATTTACCTGTTTCTGACTCCCGAGTGTTGCTATAAATAACCTTCTCCACCTTTCGGGATTTCACTGGTGGCTCTTCGTCCACTTGGTCTACCCGGCGGAATGCGTCTGGATTCTGGATTCCAATTACCATGTGTTGCACCAGATGATCTTCTGGGTCATCTGAGGATTGTGAAAAGAACATTGATATTGACATGATATTTTCTAACCCAAGATGCATCAGGTTATGGAGCTGTGTGACTTATAGGGGCCATAGGGCCTAGAGCCTGGTTTGAAAAATATACCAGACGGAGGTTTACAAAAATACGAAGAATCTTGGAAAATGAAACTGTCACGATCGCAGGTGTCTGAATATTGACAAGAAACCCACAAAGCTTTTGAACGAGCACTTTTTCAGCAAAGTTGTTGATAGCCATACATGAATATGCACTGATGGTACCCCCCTCGTCTTCCAGCCCAACGTGGTGGAAAAATCTTAACCACTTTAGAGCTTATGGAAAAGTACAGCGCCCCTAATTTTGCTCCATTCTGTTCTTTCCTTCCCAAATACCCTAGTGTCAAATATGTTTTCTAAGTCTCATTACCTTTCCCTCTGACCCAACAAGATCGGCCGTCTTTATGGACGATGCACCTATGGCGGTATATCTTCACACCAGGTGTATATGCGTCTGTTTCTTCGTCATATTCCTCTTGAAGGAGGCGCTTGACGAGATGAGTCTTCCCCACACCGTAGGGACCAACAATAGCTACTCGCTGTCTGTAAACTGGGACTGCACCACTGGCACATAAGCGGTCAAACTTTGCTCTAAAATCTGGTAATAAACAGAACAGGTGTAACGTGACAAAGAGTCCCCCATATCAGAGAGTCCGCTTCCCATTCATTTGAACAGGTGAGCTTTTTCCTAGATTTTGATCCACTATGATCAGACTAAACCTTAATGTTATAACTATATGGAGTGCGGACTTTGTGTTACACGGACTGGACCCTCAGTTTCAATATACCGGTAATTTATGACACTGCTACAGGCAACAGCACGTAGTAACTTTTCGACATGATTAACAGACGTTACGTGCGATCTAGCTACGTCTTAGCCGGATGCAAGGTACATAAAAACCGTGCGCCCAAAACGTAGTTGGGACCTAGGCTTTACGACCAACCGTGGTTAGAGTGTCCGCCTCCGGAGCAGGAGGACGCGGGTTCAAGCCCGTCCGGGGCCATACCAGCCCTTTATAAACGATACCTGCGGTCTCCCCGCTTGGCAATCAGCACTAAGGGGTTGAAGCAGGGACCTGGTCTGGCAGTGCAGAAATGAAATATTAGCTCTGAGCGCCTTTTCATAGTTAGTCGCACTGGTTGTCGGTACACAAAAATGGCCTTCGTATGTCAACGATCGCAGGCGACCTGTTAGCAGCCTTATGCGACCACTTTTAAACCTAAGGCAGCCTCCTTGCGACTAAGGTTGCAAAGAGGTTGCCAAAAGGTTGCAAGCGCAGTGTGACGGGGGCTTTAGATCTACTGTCCCACCAGGACATCCCAGCTGTAGGACATATATTGCTGTCGAACATAATTTTCATTCACATTTACACAGGACGACAGGGACGGGTATCAAAATGAGTTAATTGAAGTATCAATAGCTATATGCTGTAATTATACAGGTTGAAAAGGGGCGTGTAAAATTATGTAACTTGGAGTTTAGCATCCAATCGTAGACTCAACGACTATCTGAGGTAGCTTATCAATTCAGTCATGAGCTCCAAATTTTGTTGACATACAGGGTTACTACTTAATATGGAATATTTTTTATCATTGTTATTTTTGAGTGCTGATTAAATATTCTTTGGCTTGATTCATCAAAAAAAGTATGTCACTGAGTGATAAAAACATCCAGTCTTCTGTTGTGAGAAATTTTGGTCAATAATATCACATCTGACATAAGATGCCATTCAAAAGAAAGGAACACCCCCAGAAAACCATGTCATCAGCTTGATGTCAATATTAACTTTAAGTTAAGATATTAAAGAAAGTGATATGTTACACAGTCAAAGAATTCACTACAGTTAATCATGAAAAGTCAGTAATTACGGGTATGACCTCCAGCAGCCGCTTGCAGCGCCCTCATCCTACATGGCATACCCTGTGCCACGTTTTTTAGAGTTTGGATGGGGATATAATTCCACGCAGTGATATTTGCCTGTCGCAGTTCATCACTATTTACCGACCGATGACCATAGCTATTAAATCTGTGAGTTACTTTTGCCCAAAGTTTTTCAATTGGATTCAAATCGGGAGAGTTTGCAGGCCAGGGCAGTTGCTGAACCCATTGGTTTTGAAGAAAAATAGTGATTTTGCGAGCTCGATGTGGTTGCGCAGTCGTCTTGGTATACAAATTTGTTCCTGAAGATGACTCTTACCAATCGAAGCATTGTTTTCTGTAGAATGTCTCTGTAAGAATCCTGGTTAAGGTTGCCTCCTAGAAAAAACAACTGGTCCTGGGCACCGACATGATATGCTCCCCAAACAGAGACGTTACCACCCCCTGCTTCCATCCTAGGCAGTGCACAATCTTCGTTTTATGCCTCTCGTACACTTCGGCAGACACGGAATCTACCGTCCATATCTGGCCTCATCACCAAACCCATGCGTTTTTATTCAAGGGCAGAAATTGCCAAAAAGACCACCCCTCACATTTCTGACCACAGAACATGCAACTGAATGCATTAATTGTTTCGTGAGTTGTGCAGTAATTAGGTAACACACTTGGCTACACATGGAGTGACACCTCAGTTTTGGATTTTTAAAAAAAAGTAAGAGAAAAAATAAATATTTTGTAGAAAATTTACTTGGTAAAAAATAATATTCCCAATTAAGTAGTAACTCTGTACATAATTGTCAGTCGTGGTAGCCCTGCAAATCACTAAATTACCATGTCGATTGACACATGCAAGTGTTTTATATATACATTGTAATTTACATGTATGAGCACACATGGGTGAATAAATTACACCACTGTTGGCAAGTTAACACAACGCACCGGCAGAGCAAAGAAAACCAGTAAAAAATCACTTGGAACCTAGACTTCTATTCCTGTCACACCGGCAGTGAACTCCCCTCTGTGCAATCAAGGAAAACCAAAAACCCAAAAAAGAAATTTCTCACCCCTGTCCCAGTAAATGCCTTGGATGTTGTTGTATTTATTCCTGCAGCAACCTGTCGACATAAAAATAATTTTGTTCACCCAATAACGTAGTGCACTCCATTCACATGTGATATTACCACACGTTGCAATATTATGGCTGACATCCATCCCCTTCCCCTCACACCGGGTCTTTTTACCAAAAATTTATTTCTGGATTTCAAGAGATTTCTTATAATATGTTGCTGCTTCTGCGTACTTACCCCAGCCTTCAATGCTATTTTTGTTCATCCTATCCAATACTTCTTGTGCAGTTTTTTGCTTGAGTTGAGCTGATGATAATTTCAGTATGAGTGGATTTCCCCCACACTTCTCTGCTATTTCACCTAGGGCTATTGATTCACTGACAGTGGGACTGGCGGTTTTTCCTTCCCAAAGGATATCAATGGAGGGTGCCTTACCAAGGGGAGATACGATTATGACAGTCGTGGTATGCGACCTGAGGCTGAATGATTCACGGCTGGTACACAACAAAGTAATATGCTTTGATGAATTTAAAATATTCTGAAGCAAGCTGTGAAAGTCCTGCCATTTTGACTTAATAACCTCATCGTTGTTATCAAAAATGATAACAGTGTCTGAAGTTAAACTAGACAAAGTTTGTATGAGTATATTTTGATAATCACTGTATAAATCTATCAGGGGTCGTGTTGGGTGGTAGTGCTGGGCTAGAGATAACTTGATAGTTTCAAGGTCGGTGATTTGTCTCATATCAATGTACAGTGCATTTTCCTCGCGATGTCCGACCTCGATAGCCACCGATGTCTTACCAATGCCCCCCATCCCCGTTAGAAGAACAAGTCGGGTTTCACCTGCAATATACTGCTGTATTAGTTGTACCAATTCTTCGCGGCCTTTAAGGTCAGGAAGTTTTCTTGGTAGATGTACAGAGAAGAGCTGGCATGGGGCAACTGGAAATATTAAATGAATGCCATAAACACAATCATAACAAACATGCTACAATTCACATAACTATTTATAGTTGATAGAAAATTACACAATAAAAAGATGTCAATAAAAACTAAAAACGAACCGAAGGAGCATAGATAGCCAATGCAGCTCACCTCTCAATTTGTAATTAAAACTAACCAATTAATAAACAAAAAGTTCACAAGCAATTTAGTTACTTGGTCCACTGCCAACAGTTTGTCAAAAGTTCATCAAAAGCAGTCCACAATGTGCATGATGTTGCTAACAGACAGACAGACAAACGAAAAAAAAATGACGCACTTGGTGGCGAACATGTAAAGCAAACTAAATTATGTTGTTCTACCTAGAGCTTCAAAATATCACAAACGCTTACATTTCTTTCTAAGAAATATCTTCACGGCGGACCAACAAAAATGCACTACAGTGTATAAACACTATGTGCTCACTAAAGCATAATATTAAGAAAAGGGGTAAAAGAAAATTAGGTAAAATACAATTTTTCAAATTGCAAACCAATATTATTACGTGTGTATACGCTGATGTTGACCATTATAAATCAATTACCTTTGACTCTTATATTTTATTGTTACTCGCCAAACGCTGTTTTACAAAGCTCGATTACCTTTAGCATCCAGGGGCACAATAAGAAGCTTGTCGTAATCATCACTGGTATATATTGGGGACAGTGACAGCAGGACTTGCTTGAGAGCATTAAACTCTGCCTGAAATGCTGTGTCAGTGATGCCAAGACGCTGTCCATGTGAGAGCTGATTGCGGTAGGTCTTCACTCTCCCAATGTTGGCCTCTATGGAGGTGTCGGAAGCTGGTGGGTTTTCCCATTTAGCATGAGGGTTCAGATTGGTGATGTTTCTTAATAAAACAACTGCAAGTGTAATATCTAAGTCCTGTGTTGTCACAGTTGTTGAAGGGGTGCCAGAGGGGTACAGGAGTTTCATTTGACTCGAGTTTCTTACCTTTCTATTTTTCAATAGCAGTAAGGTATGTTTGACTTGTAGATTGTCAAGTACGTCAAAAAGTTTGTCAGTTTTACTGGGATCAAACAGTCCCGGATAAGCTGCTTTTAGCTGAGTCCTGAGAACATCTCGAAGCACGTCCGTTGCATGCTCTAAGAGCAGGTGCATGCGGAAATAATTTTCTTTTTCATTCCGTGGTATTTCAAATGGAAATATCTGTGCTGTTGCCATGGTCCTTCTCCTGTGAAAATGAGGAAAATATGGAATCCAAGTATTTTATTAATAGTTTTAACATTTTAAACATTCCCCAAACTTAAAACCCAAAACAACTGTAACTTATCTATTTACCTTTGAGTTTCTTGATATACAGACATTGAATCAGAGTAATCAAAGTTGTAATGCCTGGTCTACTTATAATGTGATTAATGAGCATAAAACCGCTGTACCATGGAATATTGTATTGTTGGTCTTTTTGTGGAATTTGATGTTAATAAAATGATGCCAGGTGCATATCATTCCACAGTCATTAAGCTCCCCCAAAGTATTGGTTCAGTATGGGTGACATTTCTATTGTCCATTGTGTGTATGTACACTAATCATTAAAAAATTGATATAAATATGTAATAGTGAAAATAGCAATTTTATTGATACTATAAAATACACCGTGTAAGGTATTGTTGAAATAAAACATGATTAAAACTATTGAGGCGTGAAAGGTTTTACTCGCAGAACTAATTATTGTCAGATTTTACAGGAATGAAACAGGTTACATGCTTCTAAATAGAACTTTTGTTCATCACGACATGTACGTCTATCTAGAGCTTGTGTAATGAAACATTTTTTATATATGTAATGCTAACTTTTTACGGATAGATTATGACCAGTTAAATCGGTTTGGTTTGTGACGCTCGCTAACTGCATGATTTACGAGAAGTCACCAACTTCGGAAGCTTTCCCTAACTTGCATCAGTCTTCTTAGCTCTCCCAACCGTTTTCCCTCAATCTGATCTCTTGGATATTACTTCTGAACGTCTTTTTTTCCCCAAATTTCTTACCTTATGTGGATTCAATGTACCCTCTACCAGGGCCACAGTTATTATTGTGGACATTTTTGGCTGAAGCGACATCAGACCAAAATGACTGTCTATTTATCTAGATACATATCTGTGAATATCTGTTGAAAATCATTCTGTCGCCCTGGTAGAGGGTAGATTCAATGCTGCACTAATGTACGTTGCGGCACGGTACAATTTTTATTACTCAAATTGCACACGTCCACTTGCAATAATTACACGTAAGGTCATGCAACGAGTCGAGTGCACAAGCAAGCGACGCCATTAAAATTAATTACGAAGTCTGGAGGTTAACAGTGTCCAATCCTGAAGTGAAACAGGATGTCGACGACAGTAACATTATATTTCTTATCTAACATAAAATGCCTTATGCTCACCTTCACCTCATTGAACCTTTATTTACACTCATGATTTCATTATAATTTGTGTTGTTTACATTTAATATAAAAAACGATAATTTTCCCATACTTACCAACGGTTAATGAATCCGTTCCGACATTCAAAGTTAGTCTCTATTATCTTTAATTTTTTAAGAAACCTCTGAAATATCTCGTAAGATAACAGAAATTATAGCCATATTTGGAAGCCACGTAATCCGACTGCAAGCACAGATTCCAGAATAATTTCGATATATGCACTGCCTTGGTGGTAAAATGGAATTTAAAGGAAAAATGCAGTGTATTCAGAATACGTCAGTGCACCCTCTAAACTGCACACCAGGTAAAATCATATAACAAGAGCTTTAAGAGAGTTACACTGGCTCCCTGTTAGATCATGCATCCCTTATTCAGAATTTTTACTTTTATGCATGCAATTGTATATCAATTAGCACCTTTTTACGTACTGAAACCAGGCAATCATTTTGCTCTGAAACGTAAGCATTCGCTTAGTTATTGCTGATGCCGTGTAATGCCAGATTGTAATTCTTTGCCCAAATGAATGGAACATTCACCCAATGTGCGTAAAAACTGTATTGTCCGATAACCACATGAAAAAAAGATTTGTAATCATGACCGTGGGGCAGATAAAATGGTACCATACAATCATACCACGCTAGATTTGATTCCAAACACTTAAAGAGGGCATACATGTATAACTCAGTCGGCATAAACGTATTTTACTGTCTCGCACATATTGACTTATGTTCCTTGTATTGTGGCCAGGCTGCACAAACAACAACTGGCACGTTTCTTCAACGGGCGTCCCCCCCCCCCTTAAATAGCCAGACGACGCTACCTGTTAAATTTAGACGGAGGGAAAACCGCTACAATAATGTTAAGCACATGTACGTATTTATGATATGCAACCCTTTTTTGTTCATGACCGAATGAAATTTAAATACTATTTTTTATATCTTAATGAAATAAAACTATATGAAGAGGTCTTCTATCCGTTTCGAACTGTGAAAAAATGAGTGCGTTGTTGATGGCTTTCTTACTTATGTGTGTCCGTGACTACAGTAAGGTCAGTTGGCGCGTTCTAATCTTTAATGTCAAGTGAGCTTAAAATGAGGTTGGTTTATCAGCTGTATGTAGTTGTCTATATCTTTATCAATGGTTGCTATGTACTGTGTGAAAACATGAAATACTTTAATATCATTGTTGAAGATCCTGACTGATGCATGGACATACCCAGTATGCTTTCCTGGAGAATTGGTACCAAAATGTCGACCCACATTTATTGAATTATATGATTAAAAAATAGTAAATATAATAATAAAGCAATATAACAGTAACTGCTTAACTCAAAGTGGAGAAGTATGAAGAATATACTAACATGCAGATGTCGATAATTCAACGCTTACTGAAAGAGGAATATTAAAAGGACATACAAGGCCTCTGTTTATAACCGAGTTGATTGGCGAATTGAGTTACGGATCAAATATGGCGCCACCCACTTGAAAACTTGGTGTGTTACCGCTGCCTACCACGCAGGCTGTTACAGCAGGGTCAGAGCTATAAAAATATTTCATTCTCTTTCTAATATATTTGATCCTCATATCAAATACTCCACATATCAACTTGGGCCTCGTTCACAACCAGTTGATCTGCAAACTAACTTGTCTTCGTATTAAATACGACGTGGCCCATTTGAAAGCGTGCCAAGAATTATTCGCTCTGTCCCACTGAGACGGTGCGCATGGACGGTGGAAATCCATTCTAATATACAAGTGTTTGCAATATTTCATTCGCGGACGATTTACCTTGGTTCTGAACAGAGCCAAAGAATGTTAGGTTGCCAAATTATACGGTGGGTGTCGGGTTCGCACTTCTTCAGATCAAAGACTTACATGTATGCATTATGTGCTCAATATAAACTTCAAAATATCATCGTCCCGCAAATAATGGTTTTACAACAACATCCAAACAAATTATTATAGCAGATACAATGTAAGCGGAATTAGAAAATATATAAAGTACCTGTACGTTTCCTGCCAGTTGAAATTCGCTAGATAAAATGGCGGAGTGTTGATCAGTGGCTGTCTTATCCTCTTTGTGTTCAAAGTGGTGCAACAAACACATTGTCACGTGATTTATGATACGTGCATTTGTTTATTTTATACGATAATCACATTTTTAGATTTTTAGAATATTTCCAAAGAAAGAAGGGTACATTTTGTTCAAATGTTACTTCACGTATTTTGTCTTAAATTTTGGAAATGGTCAGTGTGTTGCTGATGTCACTTATGCATGTGAATGTGTATGCGAGGTTCTTAGACCTCAGTAAAGTCGGTTGGTGCGTTCTTATCGTTCATGCCAAGTGAAAATTTGGTCGCTTCACGGGCTGCTTATAACTGACAGAGGGTTGATATCAACTTTGTGTGCACATAATATTTGACCTTGTATATTTTCTAACACTATGCGCGCTGCGATGGAGTCGTTTCACTAGTCCTAGTTAAATATGTACTGCTATCAAAATAATTTAACAGAAATACCGAAAGTGAAAATGCTATGTACAAAACACGTATTGTACTGTTCTTTTCACTTAAAATTTACCTGTTGAAATTACTGTAAAATTATGTATATTTGTTACGTTTGTGACGGAAATTTAATTAAACTGGGATAGATTATCGGTATGTTAAAATGCATGTAATTTTAAAACCTGGCCCTGGGGGTCCATAGGCCATAACTAATTTTGCTTATTAAATTCTGAGTCCCAAACAATATTCCAGTAGAACTTTGGTCAAAAATATTGTCCCACCCCAAGCTTCATGTGCTTTTATTTATAATTGATCACATCACAGGAGTTAATTGCTATGAGTGGAGGTTTTCATTCCACATACCATATTACCAACATGTAGTGGTACAGAAAATGCAAACTAACGATAAGATATTTATATTTAATACCATTTACTCACATTTATTACATGTACTATCTTAAATATAATATTCCACTGTCATTTCCACCGAGGAAAATAAATGCGCATGTGCCTATTATATTGAAAGACAGCACCAAACGTCAACAAAATTACCGGATCAGCCGTTTAAGTCTTTACCTTGTCATTCTATTTTAACATTCTGTTAAAACAGCTTAGTGAAAGATTATGATAGAAAACCACTGACTTATTTACAGTGGATGGAACTTTTTTGTAAAAAAAAAATGTCAGAAATCTTCTACTTGTATTTATAACAAAACCATTTTTATTTTGAATAATAAATAAATAAATGCCAACACTGAACCATATCTTGGTTATATATACGAGATGCTGACATTAAGAAATGAATGAGACGCTTGTGTTTGGTCCTCTTGATAATGACGCCACACTGGATTAACCTAGTTATTTCCAGCCAGCAAGAACGTCGTGTGTTCTATTTTTCTCTATTGAGATATCGATTAATGCAAAATGACGAATGATTAATGTTTATTAAACACGGTTTTAATAACACTTCATATCACTCTCTCTTCTGTTGTTTGAGTGTTGTAACCGTACGTATACGTACTTCTTTTTTTTTTTACTTTTTACCAGCTTAGTTTCACAATTGCATAAAATTGTTTCTCGATTGAGCTGAATCTCGCCAGATTAGCCTATGCCTAAAATAGAAAATCTAACCTCCATTTCTTCTCTGATAACATGTTAACTCAGTCTACACACATAGCGCACACTGACGTAGACAAGACCCTAGTCTTTTGTCAGTGACCTCTGTCAATTTAGTTGTCCCGCTCTTA